ACTGTTATACAAAAATCTTATATATAACGTGAGATGCTCTTACGATTAGTGACTTGAATTTGCATTGCTTTCACTTTGCCAAAGCAGATTGGATTACTTGCTTTGCATCATTTAGGAATACACTAAGCTGTTGTATCTTCCCATTCTGTTCACTGACCAGGCTGGAGGGACCAGGAGGCAGCAAACTGCCCATCTTATTTTTCTTCTTTGATGGGGGAGTATTACTGAGGAGTAAAGGTGTAAGCTCTGGGTCAAAAGACAGCTCTTACCCCCTGACTGGTTTTATCTACAGTGGTTCTGGTTTTTTTAGTGGTGTCCATACTGTGTGCAGAAGTATTTTGGCCTTGCCTAGACGTGGGGAGAAAGAAAGCTGCTTTGGATAGGACTTTGGACCTGCAATACTACATTGTTCCTGTTGAGCCAGATCTCTGGGTGAGTCTAACATTTGTTTAGATTTGGGAAAGGCATTAAGGCCCGGTTTCAGATAAATAGTTATTTTCCACCAGGTCTGCACTGTATTATTACATTTCTGAGATAGACTAGACCTTTCTGGAATTTAAAAAATGACTCATACATTTAAATCTTCTTAAAAGGAATGACTAATTGATGGGAAAAGACAACAGCTCTCTTGATTCTAGCTAAAAGCTTTTCCTGTCAGCAAACAGAGCCTCTAAATTTAAAAGCTATTTCTTTGAGCTCTTTTGTTAAAAATATGAATATTGGCTGGGTATAGTGGTTCCTGCCTGTAATCCAAGCACTTTGGGAGGCTGAGATGGGAGGATCACTTGAGGCCAGGGTTCATGAGCAACCTAGGCATTGTAGCAAGACCCCATATCTACAAAAAATTAAAAAAATAATTAGCTGGGCATGGAGCATGAGCCTGTAGTCCTGGATACTTGGGGGGACGAGATAGGAGGATGGCTTGAGCCCAGGAGTTTAAGGCTGCAGTGAAGTATGATCATGCCACTACACTCCAGCCTAGAGGACAAAGTGAGACTTTGTCTCAAAAAAAATCTATCTATCTATCTATCTATCTATCTATCTATCTTCTATCTCTATCTAAATCTAATTTAAATTACTATTTTCTATAGAATTATGTGCTAAGCACATCCAGCTATATTATTTAAGCAAGGAAAGAATGTTACTGTGAATTATGTGAATAGCTTATTTGGAGTAAACATGTTTCATAAAGTAAGCTTCATATCTGTTTATTAAAAAAAAAACCCAGAACACAAATAGCTACCATTTATATTGCTTTTGTTTTCTGTAAGATGAGATTAATATTTTAAAACTCCAAACTGGGTTCAAACTTATATTATTTATGCTTTCATTGAAAAATGATACTATTAAATGTGTAAAGGAAATATCAGCTGGATATTGATGTCCTTTTTAAACAGATAGTTATATAGCTATTTCAAACCCTTGATGCTTTGATGACTCAAAGACAAATTTGTTTTTAATTTCTTTCCTTGTGTAACACACGATCATTAGTCCAGGAACTAAATGTAATTGAACTGCTAGGTATGAGTGACTGGGAAGTAATTGAGGCTCATTTTATTAATGAGATCATATTAGTGACAAATAGTGACTAAGAACTTTAAGAATATAGCAGGGCAATTATATTGATGAAAAATGAAAAACTATTGTTATCTGTGACTGTGTGAGTCTATTTTTATGTTGCTATAAAGGAATATCTGAAACTGGGTAATTTATAAAGAAAAGAGCTTTAACTGACTCCTGGTTCAGGAGGCTTACAAGAAGGCATGGTGTTGACTTCTGCTTCTGGTGAAGGCACAGGAGGCTTGCAATCATGGCAGATGGTGATGGGGAACTAGCATGTCACACCGCGAGAGTAGGAGCAAGAGAGAAGGGGAGGTGCCACAGTCTCAGAGCAAGTACTTATTATGAGAGATCCACCCACAGGATCTGAACACCTTCCACCGGGCCCCACCTCCAACACTGGGGATCACATTTCCACAGGAGATTTGGAGAAGACAAATATCCAAACCATATCAGTGACATGCAATTTAAATAAAAATAAAAGCTTCGAATATGTACATTTTTATTAAAAAAGAAGTGTTCTAGTACTTGTTTGGTTTGGTTCTCCAACTGTTTAAAAATCAGCTTTAATTATGTCTATGTGATGGAGAAATGTTTATCATTATTGGGATACTTAATCTTACAGAAAGAAATGAGTAAGAAAGAAAATATTGGCCATTAAAAATGATCCTACATTTTCTTTACTTCTGCTTACTTGAAGCTGTCAGCAATGTCGGTAACCAAGGCAACAGCCATATATTTTAGTTCTTACTTCAATGTAACTGTGAGTACTTCTCACAAAGTTAAAAAAAAATCAAGAACCTCAACTTTAGAAAAGCACATGAAACATTTCTCTCTCTCTCTCTCTCTCTCTCTCTATATATATATATATATATATGTAAATTTTATATATATATAAAATTATTTTTTGAGATGGAGTCTCTCTGTTACCCAGGCTAGAATGCAATGACAATTTTGGCTCAGTGCAACCTCCACCTCCCGGGTTCAAGCCATTCTCCTGCCTCAGCTTACTGAGTAGCTGTAATTATAGGTGCACCCCACCATGTCTGGCCCATTTTTGTATTTTTAGTAGAGATGGGGTTTCACCATGTTGGTCAGGCTGGACTCAAATTCCTGACCTCAGGATCTGCCCACCTAGGCCTCCCAAAGTGATGGGGTTACAGGTATAAGCCACCATGCCCAGCCAATTCTATATATTTTAATATGCAAACAGGAAAAAGAAAATGTGGCCTGTGAGAGCTATACATTAGATAATCTAACACTGAAAAATTTGGAATTTCAAAAATATTAAATATTTCCCAAATAAGTTTAAAAGAGCAGAAAACTTTCTTACCAAGTGGCCATGAAAGTCTGCTGCATTATTAATAAATGTGTTTACAGAAGTACTGCCCAATAGTACTTCCTATGATAGAAATGTTCTATATCTGTGCTGTCTACTGAGCACTTGAGAATAGGGTAGTGCGACAGAAGAGCTGAGTTTTTAATGTTATTTAATTGTCATACATTTATATTTAAATGTAAATAGCCACATACAGTAAATGGATACCATACTGGACAGTGCAGGTCTATAAATTTTAAGCCATTGAATGTGGTTCTTTAGTTATTTAATTGTGCCAACCAGGTTTTTCCCATTTGTCATGAGTAGATTTCAGAATGAATTTTTTGGTTCTGTAAAACAAGCTCTGAAATGCTGTTTACACATCACTGGCTTAAATCAATAAGAGATCAGAGTTCTGTAGTTTTAAGTTGGTAAAAGTTTTAAAGGGAGATTGCAAAGTTCAGAAGGTCCTTCTGTGAACACTTTTTGTATTTCAGTATACTGCTCACAGATTGGGCTAGGGCTTTGGAGATTATTTACAGGAAACTGAGGGCAAAGTTGCTAATTAATGTTAGAATTGGTATAACATCAGTTCTTTGACAAACAAAAAATAGCTTCTTAGAATTAAGTATGTTTTGCTTATTCATCTGAAACTTAAAGGTTTGAAAAAGTTGAAAATTTTACAGAATGTTTTCTTCTGTGTTTTGTTATTCTTAAGCAAAAAATCAGTTATTTTGGAAGTTTTGCTACAAAGGTGTGAATGTTAGAAACCAAAGACTTCCCAAATACAGTACGAGGAAGGCTGATTTCAAGAATTATTTCCGACAGGAACCCTCTGGGTTAACTGTCCTGCTTTTTCTGCTATTGGGCTGATTGGGTATCATGGACAAAACTTCTGTTCGTTACTTTTAAGTTGTAAAATAAAGTATACTGTCTTCGTGTCATCCTAGGATATGTATCTTAATACACTCTTTCCAGAGCTGGATTTTTGCTGAAAACATGCACAGTCCAGATTCCCAAGCTTTGCTATACCTAAAAAAAAAAAACAAAATCAGAAAAAACCTTCCCAAACAAAACATCCTTAAAGATATCCATTGGCAGAACTCTGTAAAGCGTTACTATTTTTATCTCTAAGATCAAAGCTGTTCTAAATAGTTTTCTAACACCACCACTCTGGAGTTCCTTCCAGAAAAATTATTCCTACTTGCCAATCTATTATAGCAAAGAAGAAGCGTCATCTCTAATATTTATCTAGTCACCCAGCTCCTACCTATTCTAACTATCCTCTACTTTGATAAAATGGGAGCACAACACTTTCAGAATAGGACAAGCTACTCTTCATTTTCCCTGGAGGGGACTAGGAGAAGCTGAGGGTTTGTTCTTTGAGCTGAGTTTTTGTTAGGTTGAAAAAAGTCCTATTAGGTAAATCTCGGACTCTTGTTATGAAAAATATCATGCAGGCCCATGTAACAAACATTAGATAGACAAAGTAGCCCTGGCTAACCCTGCTGTGAGAGAGTTTAATGCCCTTCCCTGTGACTCAAGCCCATCAAAAGGCAAGAGGGCACCTCCATCTCCAATTTCACATTGTCTTTTTTCCAAATCTAATCACTGGAGGAAGGTGGAAGTATGTGAGAATGAGACTCTGAGACATTTGGGTTTACTGAAGGTGAGCAGGTCAATTGTTAAGGTTTTTTGGTCTTAAGACTTCTGAAAAAGAGCACTGGGGCATCGGAGAACCCAAATCGCCCAGGAAGTGGGTGAGAAGAGAATACAGTCATTTCCCTCCTGCTCCTCTTAACCTCTATACAGGATGAACACTGCTCAGAGCAATAACCATGGAGTCCTTGGCAAAGGACTTTCTCACATGATTCATCATCAGTACATGAATGGAAATAGCGTAGTAATTCTGATGTTATTTACATTTAAAGCCATATAAATACATACGTTCTTAATCTGTAATTGGAGGGGATGTGGTTAAGACTGGGATTTCATTATTTTCTGCTTCCTCTACTTCTTTCATAAGACAATGACATGTGTGGGCTCTTGTGCTCTTTCCACTGCTGACTCGTTAGAGATCTATTTACTGACAAACACACTGCTGTAGATGTAAGACATTTACCTGGTGCAGACCTTCTGGGATGGCATCAGCAAGTTAATCAGATAAAAACCCGGCCATTTTAGATCAATTTGTCAAATATCAAACCTAGAATGGAAAATAAAAAGATTAAAGCAATTCACTGAATATAGTCAGGTTTTTATTTTTTAATTTACAGAGTAAGCTTCAACACTGCATCTTAAGAATGTTTTTGAAGGAAATAAAACCATCTGGTTTACATGAAGAACATATTTTTCCTTATATAGAGTTAGATTGCATTAAGCAATAGGCACAGGTTCTTATCATCTTCCTGCCTGTGGTCAACATCTTCCCCAATGCCCTTGTAGATACACATTAGGCAAACAGAAAAAGAATGTTTTGAGGTAAAATAGTGCAGTCTTATTCTAAGCCATTTCTTTCTATAGACATGGCTACTAAACACAAGAATATGAAAACAGAATGATTGTTACATGTGAATCTATAACTAAACTTGGTTAAATGATTCTACTTTTAGTATAAAGCTTACGCAAATTTTATTTTACCATAATTTTTAAAATACCTTTTTAAAAGTTTGCCTATTTTCTTTTCTTTTCATAGAAGTAATGCCAGTATGTCATATAAATGTCAAGTTACAGAAGGATGTAAAATAAAAGTAAACATATCCTTACCCTTTATTACTTTTCCGTGCATCTACTTCCCAGAGGTATCACTAATAATTACCTATATCTCCTTCTAGGACTTGCATATACATGCATATAAATATATATATTCATAAAAAATAGATACACATGCATATAAAAATACATACACATGCATAGAAAAAACTATGTATATGCATAGTTTTTTCTTTCTATATATCATAGTATTTTCTTCTTTGCTTTATTTATTTTACTTATCATGGCTAGCAGATTTCCTGCATCAGCATATATAAATCTGCCTCATTCATTTTGATGGCTATACAATATTTCATTGACCGTACTGACACATAATTTATGTAACCAGTCTGCTATTGAGCCTTAATTTTTTTTTCAGTTTTCCTTTTGTCTGCTACAAAAATGTCTTCATAATATTTATATATATGCATTTTTATACTTACATGAATATATTAGTAGAATAACTGCTAAACAGATTGTTGAACCAAATTGTTTGTATATGCTAAGTTTTTAATAGATATTTACAAAATGTCCTCTATTAAGGTTATACCAATTTATAATATCAAGAAACTAGATTTTATCATTTTTTCTTTATCCGATAAGTAAAAAGGTTTATCTTTGTTTTGCTTGCATTTCATTAATTGTGAATGAGATTGAACTTCTTTTTATTTTCCTTTTGTGTCCATAGATATTCTCCTACTACTTTGCTCAGCTGTGGCTTTTGCTCACGTTCCAATTAGATGGTTTATTGTTTCTCACATTAAAGAGCTCACGTTATATTAAGGAAACTTCAATTTTACATGTAATGGCTGCAAATAGCTTTCCTAGGTTTCTTGTTTATATTATAACTAAACAGGTACTTTTTTACTCTATTAGCATTTATTTTTATGTACTCAAATTCATCAATATTTTTTATTATATACAGGAGGATTTTTTAAATAATAATTTTTATTTAAAGTTGAAGAGTTATTCAAGAAGACTGTATATAGATTCGTTTTTAAACAACTAGGCATACCAACTTTAGCATTGTTATACAGAATAATGTTAGCATTAGAAAGATCTATTAACAAAAGAAATTTAACATAAAATGATTTCTTCTATAGAATACCATGAAAATGTGAATTCTGTGGACTCTTCGTAAGGCACCGGTGTACCTTAGAAAAAAAATTTACAACAAGGGTCAGATTTATGGTACCATTCTCCAGAGAGTTAATAGTAGTTGTCTAGCACCTAAAATCTAGAGTGAATTATAAATAAACTAATAGAAATTCCAAGAAAAATAGAAAGTAGAAAATATAAAATCAAGAGAGATTCATTTTAGAAAATTTTGTAGGTATATACAAAAAAAAAAAAAGAAAAAATCATCCTCAAAAAGATGTATTGTATATTCTTCCTAATTTTTCTTATTGGCTCTATAGATATGCATGCATTTAAAAAATACGTAAGTGATTTTACTAACAAAACAACCCTAACAAAATTAAATAAATTTTATTAAGATGCCAATAACCCAAGACCTTAATGGCACCTTGACAAGCATCTACAAAGTACACACATACATGGGATCACACTTTTGATTCATGTGTTACACACCGATTTTTTCACTTACAATTATCTTTCCTTGCCATTATTTTAAAATATATAAATGATGCGTTACATTTTATATTCATATAAAATATATAACAACTATAAAGTTCTATTATATGACTTAATGGAAATTAAAAGGAATATGAATAATTGTGTGTACTTTCAAAAATCCATTCTGATAACTCAATAGATAAAAGGCCAGGACATACTCAAGAAATCATTACCCAAGAATCACATCAAACTATTACATTGGTGATAAAGTGGCAGCAATTAACTGTGTGACTGAGGGCTGGGAGACATCATCACACAATGTGTTTTATATGAGTGACATCATTTGAATGGGAAGGAGAGTTAGATTATTAAAGCTGGGTTAATGGAAAATTCTCATTCTAAGGGCATAAGCATTTGAATTGAATGGCAAGAAGAATTTGAGTCAAAAAGTAAAGTATATGTGCTGATAAAATCGTAAGTGTGAAGGGAAGTATATATGCTGATAGAGTTGTTAAGTGTATGGAATTTACTGGAAAAAAATGCTATGCTATGAGATTTTTTTCCAGCTGTTAAAAAGAAAACCTTGTACAGATTGTATTCAGCCACCAGGGGACTCTTAAGGGCTATAGAGGGTGATCGCTAGTATTTTATTTTTTATTAGTACCAAGAAACTCGGCCTCCTATGGGTAGGATATCTTTTGGGTATTTCTCTTCCTTTCAGACTTCCACTACTTGTCATGATGGCAGCCCTGGATTGATTTTGCCTTAACCCATAACTTACAAATTAGATGTCAGTGCTACCTGAATATCTACAGTTCTAGATTCAAGCAGCTGGTGAAATTTTTATCTCCTACAAATTTTCTCAATACCACTGAAAAACTGGCTGCTCAGTGCTGTTGGCACAGCTCTCGCCTCAAACATGATCACAGGGAACCCATACACATCTTCCTTTAGGCCAACATCAGTAAGCCCCTGTCAAAGCAGGAGACATTTGGACAGACCCAACTGATGGCTGTCAGAAAATCTACCTGCACTGGGTGAAATAGTTCAGGGACTGAATCATTTGGGAAGCCACTGGCTTAAAATACATCACCACTTGCTTGAGTACTGACTGGTTCGTAACTATATTTTACTACATTTTTGTAAATCATGCTTGTAGCAAATAAGCATTTATTTAAAAGCTGAAAAAGTAACATGTAATTTGAGTTGGAAAGCTGAGCAGTCTATGTGCATGTAGAAAATAGAAACTAACTTGTTCAATCCAAGAGAGAATTTAATTTATAGCATGAAAGCACCAAAAGGTAAACAGAAAATTTTGGATTTTTATGGGAAAAAATAGAGATAACAAAAACAGTTATTATTATTAGGGACAGGGTCTTCCCTTGTTACTGAGGCTGGAGTGCAATATTGTGATCATGGCTAACTGCAGCCCGGCTTAAGCAATCCTCCCACCTCAGCCTCCTGAGTAGTTGGGACTACAGGTGTATGCCACATTGCTCAGCTAATTTTTTATTTTTTGTAGAGATGGCAGGGTCTCAGTTTGTTGCCTAAGCTGGTCTCAAACTCCTGGGGTCAAGTGATCCTCCCTTTTTGGCCTCCCAAAGTGCTGGGATTACAGGTGTGAGCCACCACACCTGGGCTCAAAGGTTAGTTTTTAAAAGTATGTCATCTACTATGTTTAAAAAATGCTTTATTGAAATATAATTGATACATAAAAAGTAGTCATAAAAAATATATTTTAGTGGATTTGGACAGGCTGTCATAGTTTTGTTATTTTTTCCAACAGTTGAAGGAATTTCTAGAATTTCCCATTATTGCACTTAAAAGTCAGATGACAGGAAAACATTAGACCAAAATGGAATATATCTTGTTTGCTTTTTTTAAAAAAAAATCTATGAAGGAAACAGAATTTGATCTCAAATTAAAACCTTAAACAAATTTTCAAATAATTAGTTTGTCTTAAAAAGTAGGTAGCTTAGTTTTGAGCAGACACTGTAAGTAATAGCTAAGAGTACAGGCAATGGAATTAGAATTCTTATGTTTACACCTCAACTGTATCAGCCACTGCTTTTGGGTAAGCTACGTATCTCATTATTACTCAGTATCCCAATCTATAAAATGAAGATAAAACAGTAACTATCTCACAGGGTTGTTGTGAGGATTAAGTAAAAAACATTTAAAGACTGAACATTGTGTTTTGAATGTTTATGTACTCAATAAATACTAGATTTATTAAAAATGTTAAGATCCAAGAAAACACCTCTTCATAATTATTCTAAACAAGCCACAGGTACTGTAGACTGTTTTTTTTTTTACCTTAATGTGCATTTGAATCACCTGAAGATCTTGCTACAATGCAGATTTTTATGCAATCAATGGGTCTGAACAAGGTCTGAGATTCTGCAGGTCCAGCAAACTCTCAGGGTATACCCAGGATGCTGATAATGGGGATTGTGATATGTGAGATAATTTCAGATGGTTTCCTGCTCATTGGTAATACAATGTGTCTCAACAGGGGGAATAAGGAGAGGGGCAGAAAAGAAGGTGTGGATGAAATGTACAGATTTCATATACCCCCTGTGTGATTCCAGTATTCTTGTCTTATCTGCTACTGTCACCTTAAGAACCACTGATTCGATATTTCAACCTTTTATTTGTTTTAATATTTTCTTTCCTTACTCTTTCTTCCACTTTACCTGTGCCATTGCTGCTGTAGACTGAAAAACTATATTTATGCTTAGCCCTTCAATTAGCAAGACTAAAGCATCAAATTTCTTATTGTAATAGGATAGTGTACCTAAGTGAGATTAGAAAAATTATTTCTTAACATTTCTTTTTTAAAATATAAGGATCTAAAAATATATTTAACATTTTCTATAGTTTTAGCCAAAACCAAACAAATAAGTGACAAACAGGCAAGCAAGTGACTTTGTGGAACATTTAGTAAAAGAAAACAAGGATGCCATACTATCAAAGGAGTTACCATCTCACGAGGAGGGAAGGAGATTGGGTATTACAGAAGTGGCCAGAACCAGAAGTGTGACAACTATAGACATTCCATTTGGTCTGAAAGGCAGGACAGAAGGTGGGGCCATTTTAAAATGGTTTTCCACCCTACTGGCATTAGACTATTAAGATCTGTCTAAATGTGTGTTTAGTTTGACTACTATCTCTCTATAGCAAAGACAATTTTTATACTTTGGCGTGTGTCCTCAGGGCCTAATATCACTCAGATCCACAGTATTTTCTCTTGTAAGTATCTGCAACTGTTGTTGATATATTTCATATACATAATTCTTCACTTTCCAAAGTAGATAAGAGGAGCTCTGACTAATATAGAATGAGAAAATATCTAAATTAGCGAATAAGCAGTAACAAATTCTCTTTAAAAGTACACAATCAGACCGGGTGCAGTGGCTCATATCTGTAATCCCAGCACTTTGGGAGGCCGAGGCAGGCAGATCACTTGAGGTCAGGAGTTGGAGACCAGCCCGGCCAACATGGCAAAACCTCATCTCTACTAAAAATACAAAAATTAGCCAGGTGTGGTGGTCTGCACCTGTAATCCCAGCTACTAGAGAGGCTGAGGCAGGAGAATCACTTGAACCTGGGAGACAGAGGTTGTAGTGAGCCGAGATCCTGCCACTGCATTCCAGCCTGGGCAACAGAGCAAGGCTCTGCCAAAAAAAAAAAAAAGTACACAATCATATGTGTATTTCTCAATATTCTTATTTTGTGGTTAAACATACAGAGTACTTAAATCCATTGACTTAAATAAAATTTCTACATTATCTGGTGAAGATGAAGGCATCTATGTATGTATTGGTGGACAAAAAATCATATCAAAGCTGATTGAACTGAAAGATTATTAATTCTACGATTTTAAGTTTTAAGAACATCTAGAATTGAGACTTGAAATAGGAAGTCACATTGTAATAATAGGAAACAAGGCACACTCATTTCTTACCAATTTTCCAAACTTTTAAATGTTAGAAAAATAATTAAATGTGAGACTAACAACACAATTAAAAATATTATTGGGAATAGGAAGGAGACTGACAGTCACTGACAGATTCTAGACATTTGTTTCTACTTAAGACAGAGAATGCACCTATTGAGGAAACAAACATAAAAACAAATTCAAACTCTTCTAAAGTAACTATAAGAATAATGTAAAGTAATATTTTGAAAGACAATTTTGATTTTCATATGCAAGAAATCTTTTTCCTCCTGGGAGCATCTGCTATGATGAGAAAGAAGAAAAATCAGGTAGCAAATATTTTAATGTTAATACAACCACAGCTAGCAGCAATAGTCACTAGTCCTTTTATGACTGTTCTAAACATATACTTTGTTTTCTATTTCCAGTTGTGTAATTTGTCACTAATGTAATAACTAGTGAAACAACTGGCACTTTATAGTTCTTTAAATTATAAGGTTTTTTTTTTCCCTGTGATTGAAACATTGTATTTTAGAGCTTTAATAGGCTAATGGTAGTCACTTGCCAATTCAATTGAATATTACCTTAAATCCCTATAGATATTCCTTGATTTAAGATGGCTTTATATATTAAGCTATTAAAAAGTTGAGTTTTAGAAGCTCAAGTTCATATCATGAATAAAACAAAATATAAAGTGATAACTAAATTTAGGATGCAAATCAATCACATTTGCTGTTGCTTATCAGAGACTGAGTATACTGCTTTAACAAGCACCTAGGTGAAAAGAAACACAAACCACATGATCCAGTGATCTTAGGCAATTTGAAAAAAAAACATTAGGACTATTTTGAAGAAAAATAATCGCATTTTCCAATCCTTATGTATTGAAAAGCTGATTTGTCAGTTTGCTAGATAACACGGGAGAAAAGTGTTCCTAACCTAGGCTTGGACACTCGGTCACATTTTGTTGCTCTGTCTCCATATTTGTTTATTGCCACAGCATATCTTTAAAACAGCGTTTTAATCTTTACAACACTTGGACTTACTTCAAACTTCTAAACACAATTCTTAATTTGGTAGCCTACTTGGGAGACTCTGGGAATCTCCAGTCATGCCTGAACAGAAAAGAGCTAGGTAAACTGGTAAGCATGGGGCTAGTGGGCAGGAGCTCCCATTAAGCAGCCAAAACACGTAAATGTGAGGGGTCACTATTTTTGTCCCTGTAACAAATTCAAAAGCAAAATACAGCAACTCTCAGTTATCTGTTTGAAAGGGCACTGTGGCAGCACACATAAAATGACAGCAGACATGCATCATGCATTTAAACTATGAGTTTTAAATTCCTTCTCAGCTAAGTATTTTTCCTGGGCTTTGGGGAAGGAGCAGATTAAACTTGTCTTCCTTATTTCCCCCTAGGGTAGGAGAAAGTTAGTCATTAGTATTAATTAGTCATAGTCGAAATAACAACAGCCGTCCTAAGTAGCAGGAGGAACAAAAAACCAAAACAAAATTATATACACACATACACACACAACTCTGACCCCAAACTCAAAAGAAAAAGAAAACTGAGAAAAGTGTTCAGCCCACAAATTTGTCCTTTTTTGAATACTGACCCAGGGTAAGAGAGAAAAAGATTTAAACTTAGAATGCTGTGGGACAGGAGCATTGCCACAGCACCGATGACTGAAAGACATTTTTGCAAATTGCAAGGGAGACAAGTCTTCCATTGGCATCAGTGGAACCAGTGAAAGAAAACCAGTTTTCTTCTGAGTTGGATGATGGAACAGTTCATTCAGTTTAAGGTCAAAGAGCAGAACCAGAAATCAAGGCCTCAGGATGGGAGTAAAGAACAATGCAGTCAGAGGAAAAAAGGTGCAGGGCGGGGCGGGGCGGGGGGGGGGTGTGGCAGGGGGAGGGCAGGTGGAGACAGAGTGGATAACAGACTTGAAACTAAGAATCACAAAACTTAAGCAGATGTTGAGACTTAGCAATTATGATTGGCAGTTTCTATAACCTAGCCTTAAGCTTAGACTTTTATTTTAAAGCAATCACCAGAAAAAAATTAAAAGAAATTACGGAATTATATCACTGGAGGGGATCTTATGGGCAGAGACTTGAGGTTCACAGTTGTTAAATAATGCTCCTGCTATCACATAGCCAGTTAAGTGGGAGTCTCCATTTCCCTTCTCCCCATGCTTTCCTGACCCTACACTGTCAAGAAGGGTGGTGGAGAGGAAGGAAGGTACCAGGGCATCACTACGGAATACATCACAGCCTGAGAACAGGCTATGCACGTGGGGCCTTTATAGCTAGGGAAACACCAGAAAAAAACAAGGGCAGTATGGCAGTTTCTTTCTTAGAGAAGACTTGTAAGGGGGTTAAAGAATATGCTATGGGAAATAAACACCTGGAGAGCCAAGATCCTTAGGTGGTAACTAAAAAGAGAATCGTGTTGGGATACAGCACCTTCAGGAGGAAGCATAAGTTTCTCAACAAAGTAATAAAGTAGATCAGTAGGGTGCCGAATTTCCTGCCTCTTACTGTTACTTTCTCTTCTCAGAATGACACAGGAAATAAATGTAGTCAAGTCCCAAATTTGATCCTAGGGGAAAGTGAGCACCCAAACTTTCATTAAGAGAAGGCACCTGAGGGCTGGGAGTAGGTTTTTAATACTTAACGAGGCTATTAGCAAACGAAGAGAAAAGGTCCAGGTGAGTTCAACAGCCAGGTCACAAGTGGTAGCCCTAAAAGCAGTGCAGAAGGAGACGCTTGGAAGAATTGCTGCTGTCTTCGAGGGGGCTCTAGCAGGCTGGTACTGTGAAGACGTTAACCTGGACATTTAAGAAAATTGGAGGATGGAGTGAAGTGCCGAGCGGTGAGTGAGCAGTGGCCTGCCAGAGGCTCTGTTTAGTCCTGGAAGCCAGAAGACCTTTTGCTAAAATCCTGTTTCAGTTACACATACACACAGGCTAAGGCTGTAGGGATTGGGGTGTGGAGACCTCCTGCTTCTCCTTCCTCAGTTTGATCATTCAAAGGGCATCTGGGAAGCCTGAGGGTGGGAGAGGTTGGCCCAGGTGCGAGTAACGTCCCGTGTCTAGGACCTACCGCTATGGTTTGCAGGGAGAGAGGTAAGGGGAGGTGAGCCGTGCTGGGACATTGTCTGGGAAGCAAAGGGCATGGATGGGGACACTCTTAACTTCGCCTCAAAAGTAGCACAACTTTCAAACGAACGCTCTGCAGAGTTATATTGGCTTCCCACTCAGATGATGGCTAAAAGACAAGAGTTAACTAAAAGCCTCAGGAAGAAAGTTTATTGAATTGTAAATTATTTCTGTAGATTTCTTGCTTGCACGTGGAAGACTTTGGTCAAAATGGGATTGCGAATTTCAGGGCAGGTAGCAAACAAACCCCCCTTGTTCCCTCCCATTCCAGAAGCCCCTCACCTGATTTGGGGAAGTGTGGCCAGCTCCAGGGGCAGGCGCTGACCAGAACTACGGTCGCTCTTTCCTTGGTCACCGAAAACCTCCCAGCATAGAGCTAGCAGTTAGGACACCGTGACATAAAACTTAGCACCCCACGCCTGTAGTCCCCCAAGCAAGCCCGGCGGTCGGCGCGGACTCACCCGCGCCCCGGGCGCTGCGTCACGTCCCGCCGAGGGCCGGCTGCGCTGGTGCGGGTCTCCACCGGCAGCCTCGGCGTCCCGGCTGTGCGCCCTCACTCGCTGGGTCCGCTCCAGCGGCTCCCCATCGATCACCGCCCCGGCCCGGCAGAGCTGCTGGCGGCACGCCGGTCCAGACGTCCTGTCACTCGGTGCCTGGGGTTCTGGCTGTCAGGAGCAGGAATCATCCGCGAGGAGACAGCTCCGAATTTATAGTGAGGGGCGTTGCTGCTTCTTGGGTTCCGGGGACGAGGCTCTGTTTTGCATTCCCTCCTCCTCCGCCCCGCCCCGGGAGACCCTCCCGGCCCAACCTCCTCCCTCTTAGGATACTGACGGCAGCAAGGATGCCACAGTGGTCCCGTGTCAGCTATCAGATCAGCGTTCACCTGGCCCCGAACCCCGCCTAGCGAGGGGTCGTGAGGGAGAGTGAGCTGGGGGTACAGGAGTATCCTTTCCGGCGGAGATTTATGTTCCTCAACATTTTTTTTTTTTTTTGAACTTGGAAAACTTTTAAGGACAAATTAGGGAACTTCTTTCTCTTTCCTATGAGTAATTTGAATTTGGTAATACCGTTGTGGATCATAGATTACATGGATTAATTCCAGGGTTATGAAATTGAAGGGTGGACAATCATTTCCCCCTATCGGACACGCTACCTAAGTTGCATTTTTAAAAAATGTATTTTAAAACACCCAACAAATATTTAAAGAAGGAATAATATAAATTCTTCGCAAACTCTTCCAAAAAATAGAAGAGTAAGAATGATTTCGCAACTCATGTTATGAGGCCAGTATCACCCTGATATCAAAACTAAAGACATCACGAGAAGACTACAGATCAACATTTCTTATGAGTATAGATAAAAATTCTCAACAACCCCATCTCTACTAAAAAAATACAAAAATTAGCTGGGCGTCGTGGCGCGCACCTGTGGTCTCAGCTACTCAGGAGGCTGAGGCAGGAAAATTGCTTGAACCCAGGAAGCGGAGGTTGCGGTGAGCCGAGATCGTGCCACTGCACTCCAGCCTGGCCCCTGGCGACGAAGCGAGACTCTGTCTAAAGAAAAAAAAAAATTCTCAAAATGCTGACAAACTGAATCCAATAATGAATAAAAGGATTATACACCGTGGTCAAGCGAGATTGATGCCAGAAAGCAGTATTCGTTTACCAAAAATCAATTAATGTTTGATAGGTGAGCAGGGTGACAAAAGTTTATAGTAATCTATTGTATATTTCAGAGTAGCTAGGAGAGAATAATTTGAATGTTTCTAGCATAAAGAAAAGACTAATATTTAAGGTGATGGATATCCCAGTTGCACTGATTTGATCTTTACAAATTACATGAATGCATTAAATTATTTCATGTACCTCAAAAATATACATTTGTTGTGTATCAGTGAAAAATAAAATTAAGGAAAAAATATGAATAAAGGACAAAACACATGATTGTTGAAACAAAATTTTAAAAAGCATTTGACAAAATTCACTTTTTCATGCTAACACTCAACAAACTAGGAATAGAAAGAAACTTCCTCAAACTATAAAGTTTATTATGAAAAACTTAACTAATATCATACCTAATGTTGAAAGACAACATTTTTATGTGTAAGATCAGGAATAAGACAAAGATGTCTGGTCTTCCCATTTCTATTTAACTCTGTACTAAAGGTTCTAGTGAGGGCAATTTGGCAAGAAAAAAAGATAAATGGCATCCAGATTAGAAAGGAAGTAAAACAGTTTCTATTTGTAGATGACATGCTCTTGTATTAAGAAAGCCCCAAGGAATCAACTAATTATTAGAGCTAATAAACAAGTTGAGCTAAGTTTTCGAATACAAGATCAATATACAAAAATCAGTTGTATTTCTATATACTAGCAATAAACAATCAACAAATGGAATTAAGAAACGATTCCACTGTTTTCTTTCACTACTTGCTGTGTGGGTCTGTGTCCCCTCCCTGCTCGCCATGCCGCCATGTCTCCAAAAGTTAAGGAAATCAAGGACTTTCTGCTTACAGCCAAGTGAAATATGCCAGATCTGTCAAGGTCAAGAAAAAGAAGGATAACGTGAAGTTTAAAGTTTGATGCAGCAGATACCTTCATACATTAGTCATCACAGACAAAGAGAAGGCAGAGAAGCTGAAGCAGTTCTGGCACCCTGATTTGTTAGGGAAGGAAATGAAATGAACCAGACACACTGATTTGAACTCTATTAAAAATTTAAAAATTCAAAGATAAAAACAGTTTTACCATAGATCAAAAGTAAAAATGCTAAGAAATAAATTTAATAAAAGGGTATAAAACATGTACTCTGAAAACAACAACAACAAAAAATGTTGAAATAAAGTAGACCTACATAAATGAAATGACATTCCGTGTTCCTGGATTAGAAGATTCAATATTATTAAAATGGCATTAATCCTCTATCTACACTAACACAAAATCTCTATCAAAACACCGCAAACTTTTATTGCTGAAATGAATGGCGTTACCCTAAAAGTCATGTGGCAGTGTGAGGGACCAAAGAACAGACTTATCAATTTCCAAATTTACTATATTCTTACCAATTTCAAAAATTACAATAAACAAGACAGTGTGGTATTGACATTTGAATAGATAGATCAATGGAACAGAATTGTGTCCATAAATTCAACCCTTATATTTATGAGCCACTGATTTTTTTGAAAAGCGTTGAAAAATGTAGAATGAGTACTCTTTTTAACAAATGGTGCTGGAATAATTGGATATCTACATGCAGAAGAATGAAGTTGGACTCCTTATAATACCACATGTAAAAATCAACTCAAAATGGAACATAGACCCAAACTTAAGAGGTAAAATTATAAAACTCTGAATAGAAAACGCAGGAGTAAACCTTTGTGACCTTCGGTTATGCAAAGTCATCTTACATACAACTCCAAAAGCATAAGCAATGCAAGAAAAAATAGGTGAGTTGTATTTCATCAATATTAACAGCATCTGTACTTCCAAGGTTATTAAGAAAGTGAAAAGAAAATCCCCAGAATGTGAGAAGATTTTGCAAATTATATATCTGATAATGACTGTGTTCAGAACATATAAAGATAATAAAACATATATAAAGATAATAAAAACAAAAAATGGGCAAAGTATCTAAATATGTATTTCTCTGAAGAAGGTAGACAAGATACTCAACATTATTAGATGCAGGAAAATGCAACTCAAAGCAACAATTAGATGTGATTTTATGCCTGCTAGGATAGCTATAATCAAGAAGTCAGATAGTAACAAGTGTTGCCCAGAATGTGGCAAAATTGCATCCCTCATATATTGTTGGTGGAAATACAAAATAGTGCAGCCACTTTGGAAAACAGTGGCAATTCTTCAATATGTTAAGCATAGAGTTGCCATATGGCTCAACAATTCCACTCCTAGGTATATACTCATGAGAAATGAAAAAATAAGTCCACATGAAAATATAGACATGAAAATTCATAGCAGCATAATTCATCTTAGCCCCAAAGCAGAAATAAGTCAAATATTTATGAACTGATGAATAGATAAACAAAAGTCAAATATCTATCAACTGATGAATAGATAAACAAAATGTGATATCTCCATACCATGAAATATTGTTTGTCAATAAAAGGGAATAAAGTACATGTTACAACATGGAAGTACCTTGAAAATCTTGTGCTAAATCAAAGAAGCCAGTCACAAAAGACCACATATTGTATCATCCATTTACATGAAATGACATAACTGTATGTTCACAAGTGACATAACTAGAGAATTTTGGTTGCCTAAGCTGGGAGTGGATGGGTAGGAGGGAATGCTAGTGTCTGCTAATTGGAAGGTGATAAAAAATTATACATTTGATTATGGTGATCATTACACAACTTTGAAAACATACAAAAAATCATTGAACTATACTTCTCTGTTAAAAGACAAACCTAGTCAAATTAAATTTAACAGTGTTTAATTGAGCAAAGAATCATGTGCACATCGGGCAGCCCCTGAACTGCAATAGGTTCAGAGACTACAGCGCTGCCTCATGGTTGAAAATGATTTATGAGCAGAAAAAGGAAAGCGATATACAGAAGACAGAAATGAGGATAGAAACAGCAGACTTGGCTACAGCTTGTTGTTTGCCTTATTTGAACACAGTTTGAACAACTGGCCACCGTAGACATGCTGAAACTTTGTGATTGGCACGAGAGTAGGTTACAGTCTTTTCAACATCCAATTACGTTACAGTTCACTATGTACTGAGAAACTTTTAGGCCAAATTAAAAACATTAAGGAGGAAGCTTTGGAATAAACTTAATTTAATTCTTTAAATGGGTGAACTGGATCATATGTAGATTATATATTAATAAAGGTATTTTAAAAAGGTAAAATGTGAAATTTGTGTAGATGAGTAAAGACATGAATGTCTTACTTTTGTTTCTTGCTTCCAAGTTTCTGAAGAAAGAAAAGGGGTTTAGTTCTTATCTTTCGTGCCTTCCTCTGCAATAACTTACACCTCTGTGCTAGATAACATTGTGGATCAGGAACATGATCTAAGTTGTTATTAATTAAAACCTATTAAAAAATTAAATTATTTAGCAACATACCGTATGTTGACATGACTTATATGTTCTGAATTGTCATAAAATTAAAAAGGGCAAATCTACTCAAATGTAATCAAACGTAATAAGCATAGGTTTCTGCAGGAGAACTTTCTCAGACTGCAAAGCTGACGAAGACATGGTTCCTGAGTCCTGAGTGTGCTAACCAGGAGGGAAACAGCATCTCCTTCTCCACTAGATTGTGCCTCTGGGACAGAGCCTTGTCTTTTCAGTTCACTGTATTCCTGGGATAAAAATCCCCACAAGTACAAGCAAATTGGTCTCATATTAAGACTTTTAGTTCATATGAGAACTCTACCTTGGAGGAAATGTTATTTGAAATGGATCTTGGAGGATAGACAGCATTATTTGAGCTGAGGACCAAGGGAACAGTCTATATAAAAGTACCATGGCAACCAAGTGTCATTTGTGTGGGAAGAGATTGTTACTGATTTTTCCTAGATTACATGATGAATAATGATGAGTTGTCATTTACTGGATGCCTACTATATACATTAGGTGTTTTATTAAGCCCTTCATATCTATTAATTAATCATTAGAGCAAATATGTATATAAAAGTTACAGATTTTACAGATGATGAAGCTAAGGCACAGAAATTAAGCAAGTTATCTAAGGTTACATGGTTTGTAAGAGGCAAAGACAAGAGTCCAGATTGTCTGACATAAAAGGCCTTGTATTTGCTATTAGAGGAAGTGGGAGTAAGAGCTAGAAAGAGGAATT